AGTGAAGTCATGATGCAATCGTGTCTGTTTTCAAAAGGACGGTAGGATTACTGTAGGCCTACAAAATGTTCAATTTGGTTGTTTTTAGATAATAAACAATATTTTAAATGTGATAATACTGTACAATGACGAAAAATAATAGATTCAGATATGCATTACGATCTACACTGTGGCTTCAACTGGGTGAGGCTGGTAGTCGTCGAAACGACTAGGCGAAAAAAGACGATTCACACACATCGTAGGCCTACGCATGCCTATTAAAAATAAATATTGTACAAAATCTGTTTAAAATTTTATGGACGACCAATTTCAATAGTTTGACGACCTACGTAAAATCTAGTTTCTGCTACAGTATGGCCTGTTTCCGTCAAAATTTTTACTTGCCAAGCAGTTTTTAAAGCAAAGAAATCTATGCCTAGTGTAGGTTGGCAAGAAATTGCCGTCAGGTGTGGCAATTCTGGCTTGACAATATGGTCGGCATGAAATTCATGGGCTGTAATGGCCAATATTTAGTCTCCTATTTTGACTTTTAAAGTAGTACAGATAATTTGTGATGACAAGCAGTGCCTTACAATATGACACAATATGACATGAAGGGAATCACTAACAATGGAAATCATTATTGCAAATATGGTTCTTTCAAACAGACACTTTAATTAACAATTTTTTTTCTGTATTACAGATTTCATTCAAAATATTATTTGCTCATATAATATGGGTTGAGTTCATTTGTAAAATTAAAAATCAATGAAAATCAATAATCATCTTCACAACAGATATATTTGAAACAACAAACCGCTATGTCGCTATTTTTAATATTCAATTATATCGAAAGACTTTCTTAGAACTCTATTTTTTCATTTCTACTAATAGATCATGAGTGGGTATTGGGTGAATGGTGTGACAAGCAAACCAAATTGGACAGTCTTGCAATGTAGACTGTATTCATAATTACTGTATTATATACAGCCAAAACTTAAGTCTATTGTGTTTCCACGAGAATATTAACTTTGCGATGACTGTCCACTATTTCAGAGATTGCATTAAGCACGCAACGAATCTAGATTAAACCTTGCTTTTAATGGACTGGCTTTTATGCTAAACAATAGTGCTGCCATCTGCTGAGAGGACAGGCCAACCGAGTTATTAAGCTCTGTCAAAATATGAGCACTACAATAAATGTTATGCAATAAGCCCAAGGCTAGCAAATTACGTCATTACATTATGAGTTATGAAACATTAAACCAGTCAGACTGATTTTACACCTAAAAAGTAAACGCAAGTAAACAGCCAGAAATAGAACAACAGCTTTTGGATAACACTAGTCCTTTCTTCCTTATAAGCACCAAAGATTTTAAATAACAAGATAGCATTCTCCGCGATTTATGCGTGCAACTTCTGTAATAACGCAGTGTAGGGCACCCTCGCGCAAAAAGTGATTACTTTTCAACTTTGACATCAGAGATCGTTAACTAAAGATAGCGCATCTGCTACCAAAGTAACAACTAGGGTGCCCTCTCTCAAAAGGGATTACTTTTTGTTTCTTTAGACTAAACATCAACGCTTCTATTTGTTACGTGTAAAATCGCAGAGAGCTGTTGCAATTGTAAGATCTTTGCTATATAACTGTTCATAAGTCTTTTTTCCATAGTGAGACTCAGGGTTGAACTACAGTATGTACAGCAAGACATGAAAACTTCAAACTTGGCAGATTAATTTAACAACATTTAACACAAGGTTAAAGGTTAAGTATGAAATTATCTGATCACTTTCTACAACAGGCACCGTTTGCTACACTTGAGAAACTGTAAATGTTCGCGTATTGTGCATGACCCTTAAATGAGATTAGTCATTTGTTAACATATTCATTAATTCATTATTTATTCATTCATTCAATCTCATTTGGATTTAATACCAATACCTTAACCTTAGAAATAAAAATATTATGAGGAAAATGACAATTATAAATTTATAACCAAATTCATACACTAACGTTATTATTCCCTAAACAAATGTTACAGATAAGAAATGCAAAAAGTCAGCAATAATAACCAATAATAACTATGGAATTCTACAATAACAACAAATATTTAACAATATTCTATTAAGAAATTTATAAAATTGTATCCAACTCTTCATTGATGTGTATCTGTTTCATAATCACTATTAGGGTTCAAATTCTATTGAACTTCATTCATTTTATAATATTATTATTAATATTTTGGTAGGTAATAAGGCAATGACTCGTTAATTTAAAAAAAAAAAAAATGCTTCAAAAAGAAATCAATAAGTAACTTATAGAATCTGACAATTTTCTGAAGATTCAATGACATTACTTTTCATTTTTAACAAACAGTAATTGGTCCCTCAATTGTCGTTTTGATTAAATATCACTGATATTAGTGTATTTCCATGAATTGCTAAATATTCTATTTCATCACATCCAGAGTAATCAAAACTATCTTAAATTAAATAATACAAATGTGTTACAAATTCCAAGTAATTTACTTGTTGATTATCACCGAAATAACTTAAAAAATTAATTTTAATATCTACAAAATATTGAATTTATAAACCAGGACTGGAAAAAAAATGTTTGCATCCAACCATGAAAAAAGTTTTGATAAAATACCTCTGGCACCAAAATGTTATCTGTATACGATATAGCCCACAATTTTCTTTTTTTTAATGGAAATTCTCCCCCCCACCCAAAATGCCTACGGGACAGTCATGATGCCTCCGACTGCCAGTCGCACACTTTTTCAAAATCCCATCTTTATTATTTATAAAATTATATTAAATTTATAAAACTAAATTCAAATAATGTTATTATATTTTCCTTTTTTTTCCCTTTAGTATTAAATTCAAAATGTTCCTCGCTTATTCCTAGCTGCTACTGTACCAGCCCTACTGAGCTTTTTATTCTACTGTAGACATAGATTTTCATGTTTTATTTGTATTATGAAATTTGGTTAAGTTTTTTTTAATTGGATAGTATAACACATACTCCAAGTATCGAAATGCACGCCATTGTGTCGGGATTCAATATTTCAACATTAATTATGTCATCATCAGGAATTGTTTTAATTGTTATCAGTCAGTCAGACCTATAAATTATTACCTTGTATTTTAAAAAATGCATTAGAAAGCTGTCTACTAAGTACAATACTGTACTCCTTTTGAAATATCAATTTAAATGAACATGTAATTTCATATTTAAAAATATTATTTTCATTGGATTATCAATTATCTGAGCATTTGTCCTCGAGTCGATAGTGATCAGACTTGTTCATTTCAACACTGATCATATTTTTCTCAAAAATCTAAAAATAACACACAATTTCAAAAGCTGAACATAAACTTAATGTTCCACAACAAATGGGAAGCTGAAAATTAATCATGTGAAAAAATGTAATTTTTTGAGACTTTGTTCAGTTGAATGAAAAACGAATTTGGAAAGTAGGAAAAATCATGAGCTACACTTATATATAAGAGCACATTTTATAAGAACACTGAAGCTGAAATTGCTTAAAAATTAAGAAAAAAAAAAGAACAAATTGAGGGAAATTGTAAATTGAGGGTTATTAGAATAAACAGAAAAACTAACAAATCTTATCTGTACCTTATTTGCAATGTGTGACTTATGTAATATCCTCTGTAATACAGTACAGTAATAATAGGCCTATACTGCTGTATAATAATAATTTTCTTACGTGTGAAAATTGTCTAAGAATAAGAACAAAATGTGAATATTTTGAGCCTAGAGAAAATGTTGGTTCTTATAAAAAGTGTACCTGTAATTCCATATAAAACTTGGTAACAGAATAACATTTAAAAAAATGATATTATTAATAATTTGGTAGTTTTTGGGGCATATTTTTAGCTTTTTGAAGTTGAAATTAAATTTATAAAAAAGTAGAATATATTAATAATTTCAATTAAAAGTTTTTAAATTTAGAACCAAGACACCAGAGTGAAATTATGTGATCAAGAAATAACATTTTTAGGTACAAAATAATTTAAATGGATTGGCTACAAGATTTAAAATTTACATTCACCAGAAGAATTTCCTTAAGAATTATTAAAGAGGACTTAATTCTAAAATTTACTTCTACCAAATTTGCAACATTTAGTGAAAGGATGGAGGTCAATAATACTAGCAATCTATATAATTCACACACTAGATATAGCAGATCATTGTTCACAATTAATAAAGATCCAACAGCTAGATTTATTAAGTACAATTAATAATATGATAAGATAATACTTTATTGCAATTTGAAATAAAATACAAATTGAAGTTTAACATTAAAAATACATTATAAAATATCAATATAAAATCTCAATGTTATAGTTTAGTTCACCACAAAATGTAGGTCATATTTCACTTTGAACAAGGTGTATTTATATAAGGCACTAGCATTCAATTTATGTGTAGTAAGTGACTTTATAAGATAAAGGGGTTATTATAATTTACTTCAAAAGATATCTTATAAAGATATGTTACCTTAAAAAATACTGTAAAATATCTAATTGTAGCCCACAAAAAAAAAATTAATTAATTAAAATAAAATAAAAACATGACTGGTTTGTGCAGTAGTTTTAGTTGGTTTAATGCCGGTTAATATACTCTATGATACAGAATGATTGTTTTATAATACAAATTCCCAAAATTTACAGCATTCATTTTGAAAAGAAGCCCACTCTTTTACTTTGCATTACTTTGCAAAAGTAGTGTCAAAAGGAAGCCCATCAAAAGTTTGTAGAAAAAAAGATGTAAAGGGCTCCAATTCGAGGTTTTACGGTACCGTAAAATACACTTTGCACTATTAAAAGTTATAAGACATATTCTGTAGTTGACTCATGTAATTTAAACTTTACTTATAAAATTTATAGACACTTTCCAAGATACAATTCAATTTAGCACAGTTCATTGATAAATAATATAGGCAGTTTACAGAGAAATAAGGTAAAAAAAAGTAATAAAAAGAGCATATTACCTTCTTATGTGGAGAATGCTTATCCGTCATTGTGGTAAAACTTTCGGGAAATGGTAAAAATCTCCCGTAAGGACCATCCGAACAAGTCCTATCGGCAACATTTAAAATCCTTGGTAGTGGCAATAGTAGGTATAATTAATAATGATGAAGTATAGTAGTATTAATTTTCTCTCCTGATCGCTCCTTCTACAGTATCAGTCCTTCAATATCCACCTGATTGAAAATGGAAAAAAAAAGTAATCAGAAGTCTTGACATGGGTAAAAAATAAGCTGTCTTTCATGAAACAGCTAGCTGTATAAGTATAGCTGTGTTGATTAAAGATAGAACAGAGATTGAATGTACACTACACACAAAACACACACACAGTGGCTTGTCCTATTCAGCCTGGCCCTTAGTACTTGGATTAAATGGTAAGAGTATTGAGTGGAGCTGGCTTGAATGTATACATACATGGTGACTGTGTTCTAGAAAGCCTTACAATATCACTGAATAGAAAACAACAGAATCAATTAGCAACCAAAAGCCCAAAATACAGACTTCTTTTCATAAACATGATCCCTACCACAATAGCTCTCCAAAATGTTCACTTTGGGAATCAATTTATTTAAATTTAACTAATTAAAACAACACTTAGTTATCATACATTTTTACTGGTGGTAGGTTTAGCTATATCTTATAGTAGGCTATAACAGTCATTGCATTCATTGTGATAAGCTGAGCATTACCATACCATTACTTATAATTATTTTCATGAATAATAGAAAATTTTAATTAGACTCCTAATTAAATTTGATACGAGAAGCATGAACCTGGAAGGCTCTGAGCTGAAAGGTAAATCAGTAAGCAAATTTGAGTTACTCTTCTGGTAACAGTTGTTTTCTAAGTGCATGGAGGTGGATGTAGTTGTGAGTAATTGCACTTAATACAGAATTAAAAATAGATCATGGCACTCAGATTATTCACCAATTAAATTGCTTATCAAGTCCACATCCATGATATAGCTTGTTTTCTATGTTGAGTACCTGCAACTGTTTGCTTAGTGCAACACAATAATAAATATCAATAGCAATATCAATTCACGCAGCATGATCTGGGAAACATGGTCCCACACCACATTGTAAAATTAAAGCCTGTGCGGAGGATGTAATTCCCGAGTAAAAATTAGACACTAGAAATCCTTCTACGCATTTTTAAAAAAGGGCCAAATTTTATTTCACATAGAAACTCAAAATTTATGCAGAAATTTACTAGAAAAACAGATTTACAAAATTGTAGCTTACAGCGTAATACACTGGTTGTCTATATGGCCATCACTTCCGAAATGCACAGACAGACTTCTAGGCCTAAATTTTTGCACAGACAGACTTCTAGCCCTAAATATTTGCTTGGAGGATTCCACACCGTTTTACAGGCTGGCTATGGTCTAGCAAATAGGCCAAAAATCATGTAAATAAGTCTTATTTAAACTATATATAGTAGTACACACAACAAGTTTGTGTTTGGTTTCATACTAGTAAAATTTTATTGTACTGTATATAGGTTTATATGACACAAGGATAATGATGGTTAAGAAACAATGACTGAACTTGAGCTTAAGTAAAGATAATTGTTCAATTAGCAGGTGTGAAAACTTAAACTCATTTACCAAATAATCCATGATTTTTTGTCATTTTTTTGTCGCCACCACAGATACTGTAAAGCACCGACATGTGACATTGAAACAACTAACCATAATGTTTTACCACAGGTATTGGCTGTTAATATCCACATTGATAAAATGCTGTGCAAATCAGTGATAAGGCAGCCTACCTACACAAGATAGTTTGATGACCGCAAATTTAGCTGCCACTAGCTGGAAATTGAATCAACAGGCAGCAAGATGGAAACGGGTGAAAGGCAATTAAGCCGAATACATGCTCAGCTTATTGGCTGAGAACCTATGGGAACCTACAACTACCGTATATGGAGTTTGTATTCTATAGATTATTTTGTTACATCTTGTTTACCTGACAACTACAGGACCAGTTAATGTACAAGGACACTCAGTGTTTTTATGACTGTACACACTGCCAATTACTGGTACTCAGGAAACCTTAAAGTAATAAATTTCAGCATTGCACTCAAAACAACTCTGATACAAAGATTTGACATCAATTGAATATACACTTTAAACAGTGAATTTTGTTCCTGAGTACCCCAGAGTCAAGTAGTTTGCTAGAAATCGCCCACAAGTACCTTTTAAAAGTAAAATAAACGTGCCATTCAGACATAAGGAAGCCATTAATACTCCAGGCTCTGATAAATGTATTCAGTAGAAATATACCTAGGGGGAGGTTTTATCATTGAAGTCCCATTCATGCTATGAAAATCAACATCTAATTTATTAGTACTAATTCTATTCATCCTGTCAGCTCTTTTACAATTATTTTAGGAATATCCATAGGTTGCCATTAATCCCTACGTAAGCACATTGGCGCAAGAGTAAGGCTTTGTTTAAGCACACTATATATTATATTATATATTATACACTATATAAAATCTCCATAGTTTAGGGCATGTAGCACTTAATGTTTGTGAGATTGATTCTCTTACTGATCACACTGCTTATTGTCCATGGGCAAAAACTTTTCATCATCTATCTACATGTCTGTCTTTCCACCCAGGAGTACGAGGGAAGACGTGAATGATCCTGATTTATGTTGCTCTAGTGCTGGATTATCTGCATGATTACTCCCCTGGAAACGGAAGGGGGTTCATTATGGTGTATACTTGTTTTTCTAGCCAGTGACCAGGGTTAATAAATTATAAGAGCCTAACAAATTTCCAAGAAACCAGTGACACATTATAACTAGATTAATAATTATTTCCACATAGCTTTTATCTAAGAATATATTTTCAAGGAGATTAGCCATCAGATTTATTGATGTTTCACGAACATATTTTGCGGTTAACATTACAAAGTGTATATACTTTTTTTTTTATATATAAAAACACATTTTATAAGACACTGGTTAAAATTACTTTAAAAATTACCTGTACCTTATGCAGTAGGTGTGACTACGTAATACCCTCTATTAATACAGTATAGCAATATATTGCTGTACATTAATAATTTCCTATGTTTGAGAAATGTGTAAAAATAAGGACAAAATAATCGGCAAAAAAATTACTCAGCTCATGACTTTGCTATTATTAGTGACAAGAAATGGCATATTCTATCGACAATTCAGCAAAAATATCCATTATCTTATACTCTGTCCACACAATCAAATTTTCTTTATGGTCATCATGATGTGATGTCATGTTGACCATATTTAGACATGTCACATGTTTTTGTCAAATACAATTTGCTGGACTGAGCTTTAACTTGCTTCTGCATGAAAACGATAACACACAAATTTCAGAAATTCCCAATCGGTACCCCTATTACACATTACCACTAGCAATTGCTGCATTTTTTTAAACCATTAGATTATACTCAGGAAATGCGCAATATTTGGCTTAGGGAGTGTAGAAATATTTCATCAAGTGTGACCCTATAGCATACACTAAAGTACCCCATCAAATATTTATTATTTGTGGGATTCATTTAAATTATAAAGGGTATCCATGTCAACAAAATACATCAAGAGAGTATACAATGACCGAACAAGAATAGAAAGCAATGAGGCAATGACTAGTGCATTATTATATAAGGCCCCTTTAAAAGCCAGGCACACTGAATAGGTTATCCTTCGGAAATATATCAATAAATAAACTATCAATCAACCAAATGGGTACAAGAGTTCAAGCACAACCATGACAATTAAAATTTCACAGGTTACAGAAAGCGTTCCAATGTTTCCAGGATTGCTGTAAGATTCTTTTGTATCTAAGCAGTAGTCTAGTAACTATAGAGTTGGCAATTATATACAGTATAATGAAAAACGGCCGCAAATACAAAACAAATTATTTTTTGATTTATAAGCAATGAAGTATTCACACTAGGGATGTTACACAGTGTGAACCACATCATAGGCCATTAAAGATGTACTGTACTATCAGTCAAAATACAGGAAAATACCTAAAAAAATATTTTCCTGTCTTTTGATTGCTATTTTATATCTTTAACTGTGTAAGCTGAGGTATCTACACATAGCCGTTTTTGAATGGTCAGCACGATTCGACCTCTGACCACGAAACAACTTTGGGAGAATTCTCCTCGTCTGCAAAGTTATAATCATAACCTGCACCCAGACAACACTTCTTATATAAATTAGATATAGATAATTGATAGTACGATATTTAGTGCAAGCTTAACAAGACGAATGGCGGTTAAAGCAGGGATGCTGCAACCTACAACCATAAAATTGGCACTGGTTTGAACGGCACATTCGCTTATGGAGGTGGAACAAGTCTTCTTGGAAGGACTATAAACTGTAGTGTACACAATTGGCTCATGTGTACTATTAAGAACCCAGTGCATCTTTCGAGATAAGTAGGGGGGTAACCCAGGTGTACTGGTTCATACAGCCCCAATTTTGGACAGACGAGTATAGCTGGTACTGGTTTACCGGCCAGCTCAGATATATCTTCATGATATAGCGCTATATAAATGATGTTGAGTACAGTATGTATGATGTTAACCTTTACCATAGTGCTGGTAGAAAACTTTAACCTTTATGATGGAAGATTTTGACCTTTAACATGAACAGAGAATAATTAAATAGTGACAAACTTTGGACAGTGTAACCATTATGTCACTAAATCATTTTGAACACAATACACATCAGAACACAATACATTCACATTAAAAAAAAAACACCATCAATTACAAAAATTTCCTTAAAAAAAAACCCACACAGAAACCACAACATTATAAAAATTTAATAAAAAAAAAAAGAATCTTGTTTTACATACCAGAAATAGTACTATACATTCCTTTATCAATTCAATAATAAAATGTTATCAGAAGGAGTGATCATGATCGCTATTGATAAAACAGCATTCTGATTCTATTGTAACTAATCCAAATCTTCTGACAATGATTCTACTCCTGTATTGTACAAACAATTGCAGATACTCACCCACATCGTTGGTGAATAGTCACCATACGATAGTACTGGTATACCAAAAATCACATTCTTTATCTGCCATTGATTATTATTATGTTATTATTAGTTCATCCAGGAAGCCTACTAACAATCAATAGAACATTATATTTTTACAGATA